TTAGTAGAGACGGGGTTTCACCATGTTGACCAGGATGGTCTTGATCTCTTGACCTCGTGATCCACCCGCCTCAGCCTCCCAAAGTGCTGGGATTACAGGCATGAGCCACGGTGCCCGGCTGAGATTAAAGATTTTTGATCTTTAAAAATACTCCAGCCTGGGTAACAGAGTGAGACACTGTCACAAGCAAAACTAAAACATCTTTAGAATAGGTGAGTTATTAGTAGATAGGCTCTTTTATTTTCCATCAAGTATACTTTTTTGTGTATGTGTTAAGATTGCTGCAGTTAAAAATACAGGTAAGGCAAGCATGCTTTTTAATTTTTTTTTTCAGACCTGAGAAGTTAGATGTTGAATCAGTTATGAGTATTGATCATCTGAAACAGAAAATCCCTCCAGCACTGTTTTATAAGGAAACATACTTAGGTCCAAATGAAGGTAAGGTAATTTAATTTTATTAAAACGCATTAGAAGTGGACTTGATTTGGATGTTTACTATGTATTTTTTTTCTTATGTCAGTTTTGAAGAATGGAATGTATTGCAGCCTTTATGAAGTTGTAGAAAAGACAAGAATTGGAAGTAACATGGAAAGTTTACTGCAAAAACTAGAGAGAGAAAAACTTGTGAGTGAAAGATTTTTTAATGTTTCTTATAAATATGCATATTAATGTGTGATTATATTAGTGTTTCAGTTTGTTTTTGCCTGTGACAGTACCACGAGGTGTCTGTTGCTACTGTTTAGTTAACAGTGTTTTACTGTGGCTTATGGTATTTTTTCTTTGGCCCATGGTACCATAGCTTCTGCAGACGCGTCCTTCTCATGGAATATCTTTTTTTTTTTGAGATGGGGTCTTGCACTGTCACTAGGATCAAGTGCAGTGGTATAATTTTGGCTCACTGCAATCTCTGCCACCTGGGCTTAAGCGATTCTCCTGCCTCAGCCTCCCGAGTAGCTGGGATTACAGGTGTGCGCCACCATACCCAGCTAATTTTTGTATTTTTAGTAGAGACAGGGTTTCACTGTGTTGGCCAGGATGGTCTCAATCCACTGACCTTGTTATCTGCCTGCGTCAGCCTCCCAAAGTGCTGGGATTCCAGGCATGAGCCACCCACTGCATCCGACCCTCATGGAATGTCTTTATTATACTTTGTGATTAAGAATGTGGTCATCATATATTTTTTGAGTATCGTCTTCTTACACAGGATATATAATACGGTTCGGTAAACAAAGAGAGTCTCTGTTATCCTGTCTTACAGAGTGCTAGAGTTATTCACATAGATGTGGTTTGTTCCAGTAGAGACAGTGGTATGTTTGAAAATCCAAAAAGAAAAATAAACTTTGGTGAGGTTGAAGAGTTAACACTAGAGTCGTGGGGAAAGTAGTAGGGATCTGTGTCATACAGTGTCATTCAGACAGTGTTGAAATGTTTGGAAATTTGTACTTGATCCTAAGAGCAGCAGATTTTGAAGGGTTTTCAAGGGGGTGCGTTGAAACTTTGAAAGTGTATGCAAGGTAAGATCTTGTTGAAAATTACGTTACCCTGTAGAGAATAAATTGAAGAGGGGACATGAGGTAGAAACTATTACATTAGAGGGTGATGGTGGGTTGGATGAGAAAGGTAATAATGTTATAAGAAGAGACTGATCTATGGGATACTTTTGAGGTATCCAATTTAATAGATACTGAAGTGTATCTAGTTTGGGTAGAGGGATTGGATCAAACATCAGATTGTGATGGGTAGAGAAGTGAATGGAAAATGAATGTAATGCCAATATGTGTGGTTTACTTAAAGGCAAGGAGGTGGTGTAGAGAAAGGAAGTGGCTATTCCAGGGTTTCTTTTCGTCTTGTTAAATGTTGGTCTGAAGTTCCAGCAAAGAGGGATATAACTTTTTTGCACAGATGTGCTATTTAATATAAGTTTTTCAACAGTTAACTTTTTATTTCTCACTTTGTTGAGCCTCAATTTCCAGGTAGTCAAATGGCAGAAATAGCTTTGAGTTTCAGAACCTGCAACTTCGTGTTTAGTAGCCACATAGAATTTTAATTATTTTCATATATATGCGCTTAATCAGTCTCTTGTTTACAGATGGGATAGTCAGATTGCACATAAAACCTATAGGCAGAGTTGTAAAACCCTTATGAGTCTTTGACTTGAAAACACACACAAACACACACACTTTCTCTCTTTCTTTTCTTTGCCTGCCTGCCTGCCTTCCTTTCTGGCTTCCTTTTTGCCTTTCCATCTTTCTTGTCTCCTTCTGTCGCCCAGTCTGGAGTGCAGTGACGCAATCTCTACTCACCACAACCTCCACCTCCCAGGTTCAAGTGATGCTTCTGCCTCAGCCTCCTGAATAGCTGGGATTACAGGCACATGCTATGATGCCCAGCTAATTTTTGTATTTTTAGTAGAGACGGGGTTTTATGATGTTGCCTAGGCTGGTCTCGAATTCCCGACCTCAAGTGATGTACCTGCCTTGGCCTTTCAAAGTGTTGGGATTACAGGCATGAGTCACTGCGCCTGACCTTTCTTTTTTTCTTTCTCACTCCATATGAACATAATTTTATGTTTACATTACATTGCTTGTTTTCCTCTGAAAGCCTGACTACAATGCAAGTATTCTTCATGATCAAACCTATTCAGTTCCCGAGTTCAAAAAGTGAAAGTTGAGATGGTAGGTTTGGAATACTGAGTTACTCAAATCTATTTGTGTTTCAGAGAGTGAGTATTGAGAATTTGGACAATGAGGGGTTTATCAGAAAATTACAATATCTTTTCAGTTACTGATAGTGAGGATCAGGATCAGGATAGGAAAGGTGGTGGTATTTCGTTCCTTACCTGACCAAGTGTTACATTATGTTTATGGAGGACTGGGTCTTTCCAGAATCAAGAAGTAAAGTAAAATCCTAGATCTTGAAGGGCGCTAGCATTCCATAAGGATATACTCCCAGAATCTAATGTACCTAGGAATTTTGTGTAGCTATTCCTTTTCCAGCAGGCCTCACTGGGGATTATTCTAACTATAGCTACTTTCTTCATAGTTCTCTTGATAATGAGCGGTGCATTGAGGAATACTGAGTTTTTACTTTTGTCCAGGATATGCACAGAAGGTATTCTGAATCAGAGACAGATTTTGTGAATACCTCACAGTAAGTAAAAATATATTGGCCCTCCTTTGCCCTAGTCCTTACTCCCTATGGCATGCAGGCCTAGGCCACTTGTCCTGAGTAGCTGCATGCTATGTAGGTAAGAGATGGGGACAAATAATTTCTCTTTGCTTATATAGGGGAAGAGGCAGCTATTCCCACGTATCCTGAACGTGTCTCTTTGAAATGTTAAAAATATTAACTCCAACTCTTGGGTATACAAGTAAAATCTCTCCAGGAGCCATTTAGCCCTCTTGGAACAAGAGACATTTCCAAAATCCTGGGAGCTCATTCCTCTTTCAAATGTCAATACCTACGGAGACCTCCACAGTCTTCTTGGCACCTCGAGACTTAACCTAGGAACCTGTCTGTACTGTGATCTTTCTCTTTTTTTTTTTTTTTGACATGGAGTCTCACTCTGTAGCCCAGGCTGGAGTGCAGTGGCATGATTTCGGCTCACTGCAGCCTCCCCCTCCCGGGACCTGCTTCAAGCAGCTCTTCTACCTCAGCCTCCCAGGTAGCTGGGATTACAGGCACGAGCCATCATGCTCAGCTAATTTTTGTATTTTTTAGTAGAGACGGGGTTTCACCATGTTGGCCAGTCTGGTCTTGAACTCCTGACCTTGTGATCTGCCTGCCTTGACCTCCCAAAGTGCTGGGATTACAGGCCCGAGCCACCACGCCTGGCCTGTACTGTAATCTCTTAGCTCTACCCCAACTGATGCTCTCAGGGAGATAAAATAAATTTTATTATTGTGGAGCAGAGCAATTAACTAGATAAATGGCTACAGATCTAAATCTTAAGGTATGCGAAAAGTAAAATATTTGCGGGGCATATGAAAGCAAACAAACATTCCCTTATCTTTATGTCATATACTTTTTTTTTTTTTTTTTTTGAGACGGAATCTTGCTCTGTCACCCAGGCTAGAGTGCAGTGGTGTGATCTCGGCTTACTGCAACCTCCGCCTCCTAGGTTCAAGCAATTCTCTGCCTCAGGCTTCCGAGTAGCTAGGATTACAGGTGCCTGCCACCATGCCTGGCTAATTTTCGTATTTTTAATAGAGACGGGGTTTCATCATGTTGGCCAAGCTGAGATACATTTTTCTATATTAGAAGGCTAGGACGTTTTGTAATAGTACTTAGAAATCCAGGGAGGTTTTCTTTTCACCCAGGAAGGTTATAAACTGAGTAAGATTATATTGATTTTTTTTTTCTTGAAACGGAGTCTTGCTCTATTGCCAGGCTGGAGTACAGTGGGGTGATCTTGGCTCGCTACAGTCTCTGCTTCCTTGTTCAAGCGATTTCCCTACCTCAGCATTCCGAGAAGCTGGGATTACAGGCACACACTGCCACGCCTGGCTAATTTTTTGTGTTTTAGTAGAGATGGAGTTTCACTCTGTTGGCCAGGATGGTCTCTGTCTCCTGACCTCATGATCCACAGCCTTGTCCTCCCAAAGTGCTGGGATTACAGGCCAATATTTTACTAATAGTTGGTGGTAAGCTAATTTTTAAAGCAGACTTTAATATATATATTAAAAAAGGTATATCCCTAAATTTGACCGGGCACAGTGGCTCATGCCTGTAATCCCAGCATTTTGGGAGGCTGAGGCAGGCAGACCACAAGGTCAGGAGATCCTGGATAACACAGTGAAATCCTGTCTCTACTAAAAATACAGAAAATTATCCAGACATGGTGGCACGCACCTGTAGTCTCAGCTACTCAGGGAGGCTGAGGCAGGAGAATCCCTTGCACCCAGGAGGCAGAGATTGCATTGAGTGGAGATTGCGCCTCTGCACTCCAGCCTGGGCAACAGAGCAAGATTCCATCTCAAAAAACAGCAACAAAGAAAAACCAAAAAGAGATATCCCCTAAATTTGAATATTGTCCATGCTTTGAACCCTCTTCTACATATGTCGTATTGTACACGTACGAGATTTTCTCTAAGGTATTCTAGAAGTAGAATTACTGAATCATAATATATGCACATGAGTGATTTTATAGGGTAATGTATTGTTTTAAGTGGTTATACCAATTTATAACCCCCAGGAGCAGCGAGTTGCCATTGATTTGTGTACTCACAAGTACTTGAGTTTGTATAGTCGGACTTCGACAAAAATTTGCCAGTCTAGAAGTTGTAAATAGTATTGTGATTTTAGCTTGTATTTTCCTAAGATACAAATTTAAAATAAATTTGTCTCTTGTGATGTTCAGTGCCTGTTCATGTCTTTTGCCTGTTTTTCCTTTGAATACCTTGTGTTTTCTTACTAATTTGAGGAGTTTTATCTGTATTCTGGATATTAATAGTTATGCATGCAACACATTTTTTCCCCCATAATTTGCAGCTTACCTTTTTCTTCGTTCATTGTGTTTCTTGAGGAATAGGTATTTTTAAATTTTAATGCAGTTGAATGGCAAGCACTGTTTGTGTTTAGGTCATATAGATATTGGCCTGTATTTTCTTTTGAGCGCTTTACAGTTTTGCCTTTGACACTTAAGTATTTTTTATATGCAGCAGTTCTTGGAATAACATTATTTTGTTTTATGTCATTTTAACATTGATAAGGAAAAAAATCAGTTCTCAGCTAGGGCCACTGTCTGTGTGGAATTTGCATATTCTCCCATGTATGGTAAAACTGGTATCATTATGTGTTGTTTTGCTTAAAGTTGCATTTGCAAAGAACCTATTGATGATGTTAAGTGAGGAACTACAGGAGTGTTTTGCTATTTGAGATTTAGCTTTTTTTTTTTTTTTTTTTCCCAAAAGAATCAACTTGCCTTTTTCAAAAAATGTTAAAT